AGTTTCGCTCTTGTTACCCAGGCTGGAGTGCAATGGCGCGATCTCGGCTCACTGCAACCTCCACCTCCTGGGTTCAGGCAGTTCTCCTGTCTCAGCCTCCTGAGTAGCTGGGATTACAGGCACGCGCCACCATGCCCAGCTAATTTTTTGTATTTTTAGTAGAGACGGGGTTTCACCATGTTGACCAGGATGGTCTCGATCTCTTGACCTCGTGATCCACCCGCCTTGGCATCCCAAAGTGCTGGGATTACAGGCTTGAGCCACCGCGCCCGGCCAACGAGACTGCTGCATTGGCCGGGAATCGAACCCGGGCCTCCCGCATGGCAGGTGAGAATTCTACCACTGAACCACCAATGCGCGTGATATTCTTAAGTTGACATTGAAACATGATGTTTCACATTAAATTTAAGACATGCAGCTGGGCGCGGTGGCTCACGCCTGTAATCCCAGCACTTTGGGAGGCCGAGGCGGTTGGATCACAAAGTCAGGAGTTTGAGACCGGCCTGGCCAACATAGTGAAACCCCGTCTCTACTAAAAATACAAAAATTAGCCAGGTATGGTGGCACACACCTGTAATCCTAGCTACTCAGGAGGCTGAGGCAGGAGAATTGCTTGAACCCAGAAGTCAGAGGTTGCAGTGAATCAAGATCTTGCCACTGCACTCCAACCTGGGGAACAGAGTGAGACTTCATCTCAGGAAAAAATAAAATTAAAAAATAAATAAATAAATTTAAGATATGCAAATTTATGTAGAGAAAATAAATGTTATCTATCCTATAATGTTCTTTCACCTAATTAGTATTTAATTATATGCATTTGTTTTAAATTATAAAATATGTGTTTATTTTGTCTTTTGATATTGACAAAATCGTTTGGATATTCTTATGTTCTCAAGTCTGTATCTGCCTCCCCTGCCTTATTTCTTATGTTTTGCCACAGTTAACCCATTGTACTTCTTTGTAATCAAACAGTTTGCGGCGAGGGGGAAGGGGCTTATTGAATGTCTAAAAAATAAGCTTAAACTGTTTGTTACCCAAAGTTTGGTACATTTGTAAACTCTGATTACATATGTGATGTTAATACTCTCAGTGAATTGTTATTGTTTGCAAAAATGCACTGGGCAGTAACATTTTGTGATAAATCCTACTGGGAGCAAGTGAGCTACACAATATAGCTTAGGCGTGTAGTAGGCTATGTCATCTAGCTTTGTGTGAGTACACTCTGTGATGTCTGCACAATGACAAAACTACCCCATGATGCATTTGTCAGAATGTATCCCTGTCATTAAGCAATGCATGACGATACTGCCAACCACCTACGCTGCAATCAAGTCAGGGAAAAGTTCTCCTGAATTCACGTGAATCGCACCAAGCTAGACCCGGATCAGCACTCTGAGGACAACTGTGGAAGACCCTCCCTACAGGTGACCTTAAAGTAATGATTTCCCAGACCGATTCCCAGGCCGCAGAAACAGATGGCATTTTATAGTAGACAACTTTTCTCAAGATCATGGATCAAGAAACTTCACTTCCACCCATTTTCTCACATAGGGCCTCCTTGTCCAAAAAGCAGAAAACAGAAGAACCTCTTCCTTTTAATGAATCCTCCTCTTTCTCTGCCCATTTATTTATTAAACAGCTGACTGGAGATTGCTTGTCTCAATCCCGTCCTATGATTGTCCCTGGGATCTGCACTCTGGGTTCTCTTTCAGATTGTGCCTCATTCTTAGTAACCCTTACTGTTTTCTCAACAGGTCAGAAACAGAACTGACGCCCCGTTACACCAACTCTCCAAATCCTGTCCACTTTAATCAGTCTGACTGCTGGTTATGTCAACATCCAGATCATGCCGAAGAACTTGAACCAATTTTCATTCCTACCAACGCTAGGACTCGGTGGGTCCACTAGGAAAAATGGGTATGTGACAGCTTGTGACATCCACAACTGAGAAAACAATATTACTTTACTTCCTTTTTTGGTAGATTAATTGGACATGGACAAACCTCTATGGAAACTCAAGGACTGTCCTGTGCTCAGGTAGTCATTAGAAGGAAATCTACCGAGCGCAGTGACTCACCCCTGTAATCCCAGCACTTTGGGAGGCAGAGGTGGGTGGATCGCTGAAGCTCAGGAGTTTGAGACCAGCCTGGGCAACATGGTGAAACCCTGTCTCTACAAAAAAATTAGTAGGGTGTGGTGGTGCTTGCCTGTGGTCTCACCTACTCAGGAGGCTGAAGTGGAAGAATCGCTTGACCCCAGGAGGTGGAGGATGCAGTGAGCCATGATCACACCACTTGCACTCCAGCCTGGGCCACAGAGCAAAACCCTGCCTCAAAAAACAAAAAGGAAATTTTCCGTTTGTTTTAAAAACAGGTATGGTGCTAAATGATATATTAGTGACACAGCAAGAGGATGTTACAGTTGAATCCTGTGATTTGGTTCCGCAGGTGGCATCCTCAAGCCTCCCGTGAAGGTTATTAAAGGTTCTGGCACTGACTCTGATGGTACAAATGCTTGCCAAATCACCAGATGTTACAGTAAGCTCACAAGCCACCCTTGTGTAACATGGGATAGCGTATCTGCTCTCTTCATTAGACTGCCGAACACCGGACATTACATGTAGGTAGACTAAATATCTGGATGATCTGGTCACATGACAAAACCAAGCCACATAAGTGCCAAGGCCAGACTGCAGGCCTCCTGTATCAGATATTTTGCACCGCATTCTTCTCCTACAGACTGAGAAAGACACGTGGAAGATGGACGTGTGCAGATGCCTACGTGATAGATGACAAGACACCAGCCCCCAACATTTTATTTCCTCTCTTGGGGAAGGTGGGGGAGGGGAGCTTTCCCAGGCACATCAACCTAAGGGAGGGGTGGTTGCCTCCAGCAGTGAGGGGCTGGAAGAGCCAATCAGATCATTTGGAAGGAAGGGTTCGTTCTTGTCCGCTTCAGGCCCTGGGCTGCAGGTGTGCTGGCAGGGGTCACTCCCCTTGGGGTGGCAGCTCCTGCAGCAGAGGCACAAGGAGGTACCTGCTCGTGTTCACAGACAGGAGGGGGCAGGTGCCCTGAGTGAGGGGGAGAAGGCTGGGGTGGCTGACCCCACGCCAACACCTGCCCAGGTAATTAGTTTCATGAGGCCTGGCTGGTGGACTCCTCCAGGGAAGGGCTGGAGGGTCCCTTAGCAACTCTCCATATGATGGCTGGTGCTTTAAATGCCCATCTCAAACTGACTCTTCACTGCCCACCGACTTATCTTCTGGGCTATTGGGCAGGTGGTTCTGGCCGGCTTCCATGGGGGGTTCATCACTGGCAGGGCTGGTGACCTCGGGAATGGCGGGCAGATCCCTCCAGGGTGTTTTGGTCACAAGTGAATTCCAACACTCCATCAGGAATTTCAGGTCATTGGTGATCCTGGCACCTCCCGGGGTGGTACTGAAGAGCTTGCTGCCGGAAGGTGAGGGGTGAGTCGGGGGTCATGCTGTAGTCCCCGGTGGGGTGAGTGGGAGCTGCACGCCTTTGCTGAGCACCACTCGGTGAGTGGCGGGGATAGCCAGGCCTGGGGTCTGGCTGCAGCTCCTGCCCCCAGACATGATCTCCTGTGCGCTGCACTGTCAAACCTCTCATGGCCCTCAGGGCATTTATCATAATGATATTTATATACTCTGCTATAAATAACAGAGCAAAGGGACCTGCAGCATAGTCGATGTTAAAGCCCAAAATGAATTCTGATTCCGCCTCTGGGAGGTAGGGTGGTTTCTGCCAGTGTGGAAATTAAACCATATTGTGGCCAGAGGTCATGATGGTAGGAACAGGCAGAGAAATTCTTACGTTCTGAGGATTATATACAAATTAGACAAACCACTTATTTATTTATTTATTTGAGACTGAGTCTCACTCTGTTGCCCAGGCTGGAATGTAGTGGCGTGATCTTGGCTCACCACAGCCTCCGCCTCATGGGTTCAAGCGATTCTCCTGCCTCAGCCTCCCAAGTAGCTGGAACTACAGGCATGTACCACCACGCCTGGCTACTTTTTGTATTTTATAGTAGATACGAAGTTTCCCCTTATTGGACAGGCTGGTCTTGAACTCCTGACCTCGTGATCTGCCCGCCTCGGCCTCCCAAAGTGCTGGGGTTACGAGCGTGAGCCACCATGCTCCTAACCACTCATTAATAGGACTGACAGGAGGGTAATAGCTACAGTGACTTCATGTGAGATTGTTCGGGTCACTCCGCATGGTGCACCGATTAGTGCGTATTTTGAATTAGCTGCTCATCCTGATCAAAGGGTAGACAACTAGGCTTGATGTGGCTAATATAAACAGGAGGCTTATGTTCAGATTAACTATAGAGAGTGGAGTGTGGGGAGAGGGATTCTTATGAGGTCGGTAATAGTGCTAGAGTTGGAGCAATAATGTATGGGGGTGTATTTCTATACATTGTTGTACATTATGCAACAACGTGTACAAAGGTTTATCGCATCTGTGGCTTTTATTGCTGAGTGCCCCCTGACTTCCTGGTGGTGGGGTCCCCACTGCTCCCAAAGCTCCCAGGCTCCTGTGTCTCTTTCTCCCAATTCCTTTCTAGCCATGCTTCTGGCTCGATTCAGCTGTGGATAGACCCAGTCCCTACTTCTAGAATCCTCCAGGGATAATTCTCATCGCCTCCTGCTCATTCTACACCCTGCAAAGCCCCTTTCGCCAGTTTCTGCCGGGAAAGTCAGGCCCCGGGAATTCCCAGGCATAATCCCTTCTCAGACGGGGTGTCTGTGAGGGGGCGCCACGGGGCACAGATACACGTGGCAGGGGAGAGTAGGGTCACGGCTGCCCCACCTTTGCCATGGGCCTCTCCCCAGCCTACTCCTGGGCCTCCTTAGAATGCTTGAGGCTGTGAGAATTGCAGGCTCCCTGGCCTTGTGAGAACTGAAGGTTCCCTGGCCTTATGACAACGCAAAGGGAAACAAGAAGTTCCAGAATACAGGGTCCTGCGGCCAAATGGGAGAGGGCACAGGGCCAGGGGCCCCGGCCAGACACAGGCCCAGGTCTGCGGCTGGCTGGATGCGGCTGTGGCGCCCGGCATCGTCTCAACATGGCCCTGGAGCTCTACATGGACCTGCTGTCAGCACCCTGCCGGGCCGTCTACATCTTTTCAAAGAAGCACGACATCCCGTTCACCTTTCAGTTTGTGGATCTGCTGAAAGGTCAGCTTCCACTGCTGCCCAGCAGGCCTGGTCCTAGGGGGAAGGAGGGAACACAGATTGGGGCTTATTTTTTCCCCTTTATTTTATTTATTTATTTGTTTTAGGAAGAGTCTCACTCTGTTGCCCTGGTTGTAATGCAGTGGTGCTATTTTGGTTCACTGCAACCTCCAGTGGGTGCAAATGATCCTCCCAGCTCAGTCTCCTGGTAGCTGGGATTACAGGTGTACACCACCACCAAGGCTAATTTTTTGTATTTTTAGAAGGGATGGAGTTTCACCATGTTGGCCAGGCTGGTCTTGAACTCCTGACCTCAAGTGATCAGCCCAACTCAGCCTCCAAAATGCTGGGATTACAGGCGTGAGCCACCCCACCCAGCCTGATTGGGGCATTTCTGAGAAGTAGAGACAGAGACAAGGGAGTCCCTCGAGAGGTCCACGGGGAAGGAAGAGAAGCCAGGGGGCTGTAGGCTGCGTCCCTGTCTAGCCCACCTTAGCCAGTCCCCACTAATGACAGTTCTTACGCCGGAGATGAACAGGCTCTTCTAGGGGAAGGGGGAAGGAAGAGCAGCTGGGACTCCCTGGGCTCCCACCAGGCGCCCTCACTTCCTGGTGGGAGTCTAGGACCTTGTGAACGCAGCACCTGCCTGCCAGGTTGGCAGAGGGGGCAGAAGTGCACGGTCTGTCTACACCCATCCTCCCCAGTGTTCCGAATGGCTCAGGGCTCTACTGACCCCAAGTGAGGGTCAAAGGGCTGGGCTCCAACTCCATCCCGGGCACACAGGGGCTCCAAGAGTTCAGCCTGCAAAAGCAGAAGCCTTTGGAGCACAGAGGAAGACACAGAAGCTGTGGAAATAAACAGGGTGCGAGGGGAGCCCTGGAAATGTTTCCAACAGGAGGCAGCTGGTCCAGGAAGAGCTTCAGTTCCTGCCCCCACATCAGGTTCCCTGTTCAGACGACCCCGATTGCATCCAAGAGGCTCCCCTTTGGATGTCCAGCCGTGTGCTGGGCCCGGCTTCCTTAAAGCAAGGACAGAGCGAGGGCGATGGGAGCGGGGCTGGGACCCAGGCCCTCAGGGCTTCAGGTGATTCAGAGGTGTGGCTGCAGATCCTGCTTTGTGGGCGGGCACTGGAGGCCTCCAGCTTCTGGGCCAAAGGGTCATCCTGGTCCTGGGACACAGGTAGGAGGCACAGGAGTCACCAGCCCTAGGGTGGAGCAGGCTGGGAGCCAGCAGTTCTTATCCCAGTCTGGTTCTGCCACTGCCTTGCCCTGTGACCTGGGGTGAGCCTCGATGTCCCTCCAGGCCTCAATTCCCTCTTCCTGAGAAAAGAGGGAGGCATTTGTGTCTCTGGGAGTCTCAGTTCTCTCTCCCCTGGAGTCCCACAGCCTCGGACCTTTCCTGCTCCTCCCAGGTCACCACCACAGCAAAGAATACATTGACATCAACCCCCTCAGGAAGCTGCCCAGCCTCAAAGACGGGAAATTTGTCTTAACCGAAAGGTGAGTCTTCCCCAGAGCCCTCACGCTGTCTGTCTCTGCTCCTCCTGGGAGACTCAGTGGGAGCATCTGTCTATTTACCACGGAAAATCTCACACGTACACTAAAGTGGAGTGAATGCTGATGAATGAGGGTCATGATGAACCCCGCAAACCCACCGCCCAGCTCCAACTGCTGCCAACTTGGGGTCCATTTTACATCAGTTCTGTTTCCCTGTCTTCCAGACACCCCATCATTTCATAATGTCTAGGGGCCAGCTCATGTCTATAATTCAGCACTTTGGGAGGCTGAAGCGGGTGGATGGCCTGAGCTCAGGAGTTCAAGACCAGCCTAGCCTAGACAACATGGCACAACCCCGTCTCTACAAAAAATACAAAATGTAGCCAGTGTGGTGGCCCGCACCTGTAGTCCCAGTTACTCAGGAGGCTAAGGTGGAAGGATCGCTTAGGTAGAGGTTGCAGTGAGCCACGATTACGTCATTGCACTCCAACCTGAGCGACAGAGTGAGACTCCATCTCAAAAAATAAAAATAAGTAAGTAAATAAATCAATAAATGTTAGAAACATACCTCTAAGAGGTAAGGGTTCTTAAAAAAAAAAAAAGGCGGGGCGAGGTGGCTCATCCCTGTAATATATGCACTTTGGGAGTCTGAGGCGGGAGGATTGCCTGAGGTCGGGAGTTTGAGACCAGCCTGATCAACATGGAGAAACACCCTCTCTACTAAAAATACAAAATTATCTGGGCCTGGTGGCGCATGCCTGAAATCCCAGCTACTCAAGAGGCTGAGGCAGGAGAACTGCTTGAATCCCAGAGGTGGAGGTTGGGGTGAGCCGAGATGGTGCCATTGCACTCCAGCCTGGGCAACAAGAGCAAAACTTAAAAAAAAAAA